GATCGCAGTGTTTTGCGGAGTGGCCAGAGCCCCTGTTACCTCCCGAGAATCCAAGGGCAGGAACTGTGAGTGGGTGCACCGCCTTCGCTGTGTAAGGAGCAGGTTGGCTGGCTGTGGCGGCATTGGGGCCTGTCAGGACCTGAGCTGTTCACAGAGGGGTGCTCCCTGGAACCTTTGCTGCTGTAGGGTGGGGTTGTGTTCTCACCAGGCACCAGCAGGAGGGTCGGCCCATCTGAGGTGCCTAGCTGGTGGCATGCCTCTCTCTGTCTGCTGGGTGGGCCAGGGCAGGATGAACTCAGAGAGTCCATGGGTTACAGAATCATGAGAATCCTTTCATATACATGATCTCCTGTCGCCCACCGCACTGCCCTGAGATAGTTTTTTATTATTTTATAGACAAGGAAACAATCTTGGACATTACTTGTAGTTTCTTTTTCGCAAACATGGAGTAAATGTTGGAGGCAGGATTTGAACTCAGAACTTCTACCTGCATTTCCTATTAGATGAGAGCAAATCCTTGCATCTCAATCCCTGCTCATTTCCTGCCCATAAATGGAACTGCAGAGGAAACAGTATCTCTGATGTTCATCCCAGTCCACTTGTTTGGCTCAGATTCTCAGCGGGGAAACCTTGACTCCCTCTAGTACTGCAGAGGGACCGGCGCACCTCTTGGCACCACCATCCTATAGTATCCCTATGGGCTTGGGGGTGCATCTGCTGGTCGCTGCTCCTTTGTCCCAACAGTCAGCGTTCTCCAGACCTTCTCCTGGCCCTGCTGACCCACGGCTGTGTTTCTGCTTTTCCGAACTCTGTCCAGTCTGCTCAAGGCCAGGCTCTCCTTGTTAACTCTGGGATCCCTTCCTCGGTGTTCTCCGCAGGCCCTCGCAGGGAACGTGTTTACCATTTGCCATGGCGACAGTTTGGCCCTTTCCCCTCTGAGCGGTGATAAAATGGTCCAGGGCGCTCACCCGTCCAGCAGTTGGTTTGGTAATTCTAAGAGACTTGTGAAAAATGCGTGAGGCCTGGGATACAATAGATAAGCTGAAATGCTTGCAAGAAAATCCACTTGTGGATAGTGGGGTGACTGGAAAAGCTCTTTCTTTGCCCTCTCTGTCCTCGTCCCAAAAGAGATCAGGTTTAGGAATAATTCCTCTATGAATGTGGATGCTTTCATCCCGGGTCAAAAGCTGGTTGGCGCCTGCTTGTCACATATTTTCCCTTTTCTCTAGCTTCTTCCCCTTATGAGTTTGGCTTAAATTCCTGTCTTAATGGCTCTGAGTTCCCTCTTCAAAGGTCACTGCCCTGAGGCATAAAAGTGGAACCAGAACCGCCAACTATCCTGGGAATGGGTCACATTTGAGGGGGAGGCAGTAGGAGGGCCATGTTTTGTGTGACTCAGTAGTTGGGGGAGGGTTGGGCCAGCCCATCAACACAAGCATCTCTGCTCCTGCCTCCTTATTGGAAGGCAGGAGGGTGTGTGTCCCTGCCCTTGCCTGTGATGCCTCTCACACGCGGCTGTCTGTCCTGTTCTAGAACAGCCCCTGCGTGTCCTCGAAGTCTGCCTTGCTTTTCTCCAGTGTAGGCTCAGTCGGGTGAGGAAGCCGAGACCCAGATAAAGTGGCTTGCCCACGGTGACACTGGGAGGTGACAACAGGGGAGCCTGGTTTTCTTGGTTTCTTCCCTCTACAACAGGCGCTGCCTGTGTGTTGCGGGAGGTGGGGGGACAGTTGAGTGCTTTTAGTTCATAACCCGGAATACGAACTCCTCGGCTAGGCTGTGGATCAGTGGAGCGCAGCCTAGAAGGCTTTGGCTCATGCGCGTCTGCTGCGCCCACACGGTGCCGAGGGCTGTCGATGGAGTGGGGTTTGGTGACTGGATGGCCTTTCAACATGAGGACACTAATGTGATTTCATACATACGTGTGAGTCCTGGTGTCTCCTTGGCAGCGTTGACCTGGTTCGGAGGATCCTGGTTCGGAGGATCGGAGGATGGGGTCTGATGAAGGAATGCTGGGTAGTTGCCGATTGGGAGCCCACGTGGGGAGGTGCAGGCACTCAGGTGAGGCCAAGGTGTGGACCAGAGAGAGAAACGGGCATGGCCCCTCGACCTGAAGGATAAACCTTCCTTAAGGACACCTCATAGCTTCGCCCACGTCCCCTGTGGGTGGCAGTGCCGGCATCGGCTGCTGGCTCATTCTGCCGGACCAGGGCAGTGAGCCAGGCGCTGAGCTCACTTGCCAACAGTCACCTCTCTCAAGAGGAGGAGGAGGGGGAGAAACAGGCCGTGAAGGTGGCTTTCATTCTGCACTTAGACCTACAGAATTTGGGGAGAGGACCTCCTGATGGTGAGAGTGTGCAGGCCCCACCCATGGAGTTCAGGGGTGCGGAGGTGGGAAGCAGGCCTCCCATGTGTGTGCACTGCTACCTGTTAGGGACAGAGACATTGTTTTAAACATTCAGAGAAAAGGACACAAATGAGCCCCTAACCAGACCCTCTGGCATGAAACTCAGTGGGGAGCCCATTTCAGAGAAGTAGATATGAATCTCTGGCTTTTGTGTTTGAGAGCTCTTAAAAATGATTGCTAGGAACCAAAATAGGCTCACTGAAAACAAGGATAATTCTAAAGGGAGCTTTATTTTTGCTGATAAGGTTACTAGAAAAGAAGCAGGACGGCTTTTTCCCTGGCCTTTGCTGACCTCCCAGGCTGCTCTAGTAGACTGGGCCGGAGGCGGGTGAATTAAGCTTATATACTCGTTCCTTGGGGCGGCCATTACCGAGTGCCTTAAAATAGTAGAAATGTAAGCTCTCACCGTGAAGGCAGCTAGAAGTCTAAAATCAAGGTGTCTGCAGGGTGGGTTCCTTCGGGGGCACTCGGAGAGCATATGCTCCGAGCCTCCCTTCCAGCTTCTGTGGGGCCAGTGGTCCTTGCCCCTTCTTGTAGCTGCATGACTTCCATTGCTGTCTGCACACGGCCTTCTTCCCGTGTGTCTCTGTGTCCAAATTTTCCTCGTCTGAAACACACCCATCAATGGATTAGGACCCCTCCTAGTTCAGTATGAACTCATCTTCACTTGATTACATATCTGAAGACACTGTTCCCAAATAAGGTCACACTCACAAGGACCGGGGTTTAGGACTGGAACGGATCTGTTGAGGGTAGGGGTGGGGATGCATGTCAACCCACAGTAGCAGCAGCTGCCGAGTGGCCTGCCTTACCCCATCTTCTCACGGAGCTCCTCTGGTGACCCCAGCATTCGGCCGCTTTATCCTTAGAGCTGTCGGTGTCAGAGCCGCAGGGATAGTCTCATTGCTGCGTTGGCCTGACAAGCTTGCCCTCACCCTGCACGGGGCTTGGGGCCCCAGCAGTCACAGAGGTGATGGTGGCAGGGCCAGAATCCCCGGGTTCTTTTCCTAGAAACATTCTGCTCTGCCTTGTTGAATTGTTACAGATAATAGTTTCTGGTTCCACGTGCGCACTCGTGTTCTTTCCCCAGGAAGATTGCGACTTCCTTAAAACCCAGTTCTGTTCCTTTTGCATTCCCATCGTCTGCCGTGAAGCTAGTGGGGATTAGAGCAGCGCTTGCTGGAGTGAGCACCCGAGGGCCAGCTGGTCCCCGTGGCCAGTGTCTCTGCCAGGCCTTCCCACCGTCCCTCTGATGAGTCTTGGCATCTCACTGCCACTGGCCCTGCCTTGGCGTCCTTATCGGTGTGGGTGCTGGGCCTCTGTGTGCAGCCACGTGTGCAGTTGCGCGGGGAGCAGCACTGGTTTCAGGGTTTCAGCACTGCTCTACCTTTCTTGGCTGTTTTCTCAATTTGGGTTCCATCTTGAGTTTAGGCTCTGTCAGGCCTCTCCTCCAGATCCCGTGGGAACTGCTCCCAGCTCCCCCATTTCTGCGCTTCCTCTTCTCAGTGAGGAGAGCGCTCTTTTCCCAGAATTCTCAGCAGGAGCTCTGTGAGCCTGCCTCTGATTGGACCAACTCGGGTCACATAACCTCCCATGAGCCAGTGACTCCAGGGGCAGAATGCCCTGATTGGTCTCACCAAAGCCCTGGGATCTTGGGCCCAGTGGGTGGAGGAGGCCCCAGAGGGGACTGAGGGCTGGTGGGGGAGTGAGAAGAC